GAATTAGATGGATGTTTCCCAAATGCATGGATTGCTTACAGAATTTTGGTTAACTATATAACAGTCATGATTGCCTCTGTAAAAAGAAGCTTTTCAAAGTTGAAGTTGATCAAAGAATCCTCCATCCTCCACCATCAAATTCCATACATTCATAATCATAGCCGAAATACTCAAAGGAGAATATGAAGAGAGCTTGCACAACCTTGGCGTTCTACTTGGAGAATTCAATGTCTTTCGTGTCTTCGTCAACCATCATGATTCTCAATAAACCATTCATAAACTAATTTCTTTTACTAGGGCTATGATGTAGCCTAGTTATGAATACTCAAATTCTTTAATATTATTAATTTTATTTATCTATACATGTTGAGTACTTGTTACCATTCTTAATGCTTTCAATTAATTGGCCATTAATTGTATGCTTGGAAGAATTGGGTTGAGACCGGAAGGAGATTCCTAATAAAAAGTTTTTGTAACAAGTACTATAAATTATATAGCCGACTTGGAAGATTAGGTTATGATTTGTGTAGTCTTTAATGTTTTTCCACAAATCTTAATGGGTTCTTAGCCATCTAAATCCATAACTAGGAATAGAGTGGGTTGACGGTACAGAACACAACTAATATAACTCAGAAGAGAGTGTTGGTGAGGTAAGGGAAAACGATTATCAACATGTTAGGTGATTATGATTAACAAGCTAGAAGGATTTAGGTGGGATTAGCTAGGTAAAATCGGTGTCCTAGTACTTTATCATCTTTGTTTTCATCGTTTACATTACTTACTTAATCTCAATTTATTTTACTTGCTTAATTAGATTTTAATCACCATAATTCTCTTATCGTTTAATTCAAATATAATTAGAAATAAATCACTCTAGTATTTAATAGATTAACTTGATCCCTGTTGAAATGATACTCTATTTATTACTATACTAATTTGAGTGATATCGTTTACTTGCAATTAATTACATCAACTACCTGGCCAGTGGCAATCCTAAGGTTTTGGAGGCTCGAGGCGAACTACCAAAATGTGGATTTCTACTCTCTATGTATACAGTATATTTATGCAATTTCAATAAGTTAAAAAAAATTATTATATGAACTCAAAGTCAGAATTGTAATCTAAAAATAAACAAACAAAATGTAATTCACATAACAACTTTATAGATTGCATCAAAACATCATTCATCTTGCATTTTTCGTCTTACATAGCAAGCTTGGGTATATTCAGGCTGCACATACTAAGCGAGTGATTTCTTTCATTGGTGATGGGAGTTTCCAGGTGCCTTAATTTGCTCCCTTCTCTCTAGCCCTTAACATTTGATCAATATCAATAATCACTGGTCAAATATATTCGAGTTAAGTGATTTGGGAGAACTGTTTTGTTTTGAACCTCTGAACTTGAATCACAATTTTATAGGTGACTGCACAAGATGTGTTAACGATGATGAGAAGTGGGCAGGGCAGAGGAGCATAATATTTCTGATAAACAATGGAGGATACACAATTGAAGTTGAGATCCATGATGGGCCCTACAATGTGATCAAGAATTGGGACTACAGTGGACTGATTGACGCTGTCCATGATGGGGAAGGCAAATGCTGGACAACCAAGGTTCGTTGTGAAGACGACTTGATTGAAGCAATTGAGGTTGCAAATGGGGATAAGAAGGATTGCTTGTGCTTCATTGAGGTGATTGTTCACAAGGATGATACCAGCAAAGAGTTGCTTCAATGGGGGTCTAGGGTTGCTGCGGCAATAATAATGGATTTATTTTAATGTTTTCTATTGGCAGCAGCAACCCTAGACCCCCATTCAAGCAACTCTTTGCTGGTATGCTGTACGACCAAGGTTCGTTGTGAAGACAACTTGATCGAAGCAATTGAGGTTGCAAATGGGGATAAGAAGGATTGCTTGTGCTTCATTGAGGTGATTGTTCACAAGGATGATACCATCATGGATCTCAACTTCAATTGTGTATCCTCCATTGTTTATCAGAAATATTATGCTCCTCTGCCCACTTCTCGTCATCGTTGACACATCTTGTGCAGTCACCTATAAAATTGTGATTCAAGTTCAGAGGTTCAAAATAAAACAATGGTTCTCCCAAATCACTTAACTTGAATATATGTGACCAGTGACTATTGATATTGATCAAATGTTAAGTGCTAGAGAGAAGGGAGAAAATTAAGGCACCTGGAAACTCCCATCACCAATGAAAGAAATCACTCGCTTTGTAGGTGCAGCCTGAGCATACCCAAGAGTTGCTCCAACTGACCAACCAATTGATCCATATTGCATTTGGAATTCATACCTGCAAACCCATTATCATATTGCTCAATTAAAATCATAAAAACAAGCGTCAAATTAAGATCAAATTTTGTCCATGGCTTACGTACCTGCAACCTAGTGGCAATTTCAGTTTCTGGCAGTTAAACCATGAGTCCCCTGTCTCAGCAATCACAGCTGTTTGACTTGACAACATCTTTTGGATGTGTTGGAACAGAACATTAACCCTCAAAGGCTCTGTAGGAGCACATCTCATAAGCAGTCTTGTTCCATTTAAGCCTCTTTGATAGAGCTTTCAGAAAATCCTTCATTACAACACAACCAAATGCAGGGCCATTTTCGATGGTCACACTATCCGGTTGCACTATGACCGCCTTCTCTTTCTTCAAAAGGGCTGAGTACCCAACAGAGCTGTAGTCATTGAAAACCGATCCGGCAAACAAGTAGGCATCTGCAGACTCCACAATCTCATAACAGAAGGTGGTGCACTCAGAACCCTAGTATGTCCCAATGAAATGAGGGTGGTGCTCTGGCACAAGCCCCTTTGCTGAAGGCATCACAGCCAGAGCATAACCACTAGCATCAGCTGCTTGTGCAACTCGGAGTTTAGGCCCACCCACCATAACTGTTTTCACTACCTTGTCCAACAAGTCTGCTGCTGCTTCAACTGCTGCCTCTAAGGCCATTTGATTACTGAATCTGTGTGACATAGCAAGCCAATAATTGAATCTTTTTACTTACAAGTCACAAGCTTTATATAAAACAATCGGAGAGGCCAAAGTTTACCTGGGAGGCAATGAAATTGGAATAGGCTCAGGGCTAAAAGTAGGATGAAGAATTCCAGCCAAGTTACAACTTATGCTTATGAAATTGCCGTGTCGATTAACTCACTGCCATCTTCTAGATTATTTATCACAGCCTGATAAATAAATACCAAAATTAATAAACTTAAGATTTACTTACAAAAGCAAACACTGAAATTAAAAATTCTTATGCATTACGTAAGCGAAAAACTAAATGGTGTCAAGTTCAAATCTTTTTCGACCATTTCTACCGATAAACTTAAATAGTTTTTGTCTCCTTTTTTTTCTTTTAAAGTTTGTATGTGCCAGCATTCAATGTCCACATGTCGTTGTATCCATTCCAAAGTTTACACTATTTACCTGATAACAAGTGACGTTCCGAAAGCACCTAAGCTCTTGGCTAAAATCAGGCAACCCAATAGTATGGTGAAGAATCCTATTATCACTCCCGAAGTCATTGGAGTTGGGTCCTCCAACGATATAAATCACAGGCAAATCCTCACTGTAGGTTCCAGCTATCGCATTCAGCAAGCTGAGTCCACCCACGGTGAAAGTAACTACACAAGCGCCCACGCACCGCGAGCGAGCGTAGCCGTCAGCTGGCGTTGAGCTCGTTGCAGCAGCCGATTGTTATTGAGCCCAGGCTTGGCTATGAGATAGTCGAGGAGGGTTAAGTTAAAGTCACCAGGCACAGATAAAACGTCCGTGACACCGATTTGGAGGAGTCGCCGAGCCAGGTAGCTACCCAGAGTAGCGTTGGACGAGTTGGAGGAGGGGACAGAGTATTTCTGGATGGTGGAAGCGACGTCGTTTTGGGGGCTCAGCACGACGTCGTTTGTTACGGGCTTTTATTACAAACGTCAAGTGCTCCGTTTTTGTTGTCCATTGCCACAGATAGGCGACTTTGACCACACTTAGGATTAGAAGAAACACTTCAAAATGGAGGCTTTGTAATGGCATTTGTGTTGTGCTGTAGAGAGAGAGAGAGAGAGAGAGAGAGAGGGGATTTGGGTTTTTATAGTGGGTTTTGGTCTTTTGTGTTCGTTGAGAAATGGTTTGGTAATTTGGACATGGATTTGATAGGAGCATTTTCAAGTCCAGATGGTGAAGTTTTGAAATGTTTGATCACAAACACTAAAAAATGATTGAGTTTCCGTGAGGAGTTATATACACATTGTTCGTTAATAAAAGAAATGCACTACGTATCCATTGCATCTGTCCAATCTTAATCTTGTGGGCATACATACAAAAGGAAAGCGCCATATAGGCATATAGCAATGATTAGCTGGCTGGTTTTTGTTAACTGGGTTAATTATGCATGGAATGGTGTAGAGATAACTGGCTGGTTCTTGTTGGTGTGGTGTGGTCCTAGAGAAAAGAAAATTGGTGGAAGTTTGGCCAATGACCATGCGTGCACAGTGCACTAATTAATAATACTACACTCATCAATGTTTGTTGATGTAAACATATAACGTCCTGTCACGTAAGGTTGGTATCCAAAAGTTGGTGTCATAACTTATTAACCTAAATTTAATCATTCAATGATGTAAAAGTTCGACGAAATAATATCTTGATTTTAATAATAATATAATGTCTTCTTCTTCTTCTTTTTATATCAATGAGTAAGTGATTTGAATAACAATAATAATTTGTATCTACTTAGACTAAACATTTTTTAGCCAAGCCCAAGTTGTGGGAGGATAGAGAATGAGATGGCATTAGAAAAAGTCACGGTAGTGAGATAGGATTTGATTAACTAGTGCTTGAAAGAAAAGAAAGAAAAGAAATCCAAATAAAGGAGCAAAGAAAGCTCATAAGAGAACGGGCATCCATCAATCCCCACGCTGCAGATCGCAAATAAATGAAAATCAGCAAGACGCGGATCAGTGTTTGATAAAACGAGAACTTGAATTTCAAACTTCATCAGCTTCTCATTTTCATATATATTTTGGTCATCAATTTTACACCGAGTAAAAGAACAAATAAATTACACGGGTCATACAACCAAATGTATGAGACAGACTTCTACTATGGCATTACAAAAAGAACCACTTATGTAGGGTTCAAGCCCACTTTTCCAAGATGACGACGGATGCTCCTCGACAGATCCTCCTTAGTTCTAGTCTAAATTTGTGTTATGTTTTCTATACTTAAATAGTGAAGCTATGTACAAATAAGCCAGAAACTACCTGGCCCAAACTTTGTCACCACCATAGCTCTCATTTGAGGACGGGTTTCTGCCGAGTCTTGGTAAAACGTATGTCCCCATTAAGAACGGAGCCAATGAACCCCTCTACTTCTTCTGTAGTCATTTCACCCTCAAATGCTGCGAACGTCCCCCTCCGAGGTTTATAGGCAACCAAGACCTTATCTAACGATTTAAATCCTGCTTTGTCAAATGCATTTAAGAATGATGCCTTCTTGGAGGCATCCAAGAGAGTGTAGGAAATGGAATCCCTTCCATCGGCTGAATTCTGTTGCCTTGATAGTGATTTCTGAGAGAGCTGAAAGCAAACATCATGAAGCAAATTACTATATATAAAAAAAGTAATTTCCATAAAAAGATCATGGTCAGGTGATTTGGGTAACAATAGCCAGTCAAGCAGATACTTTAGGGACTACATTTGAATCCTTAACCAATACTTCTGGTTTATAAATTTAGCAGGTCACATGGGTTGAGGCTGCTAGTCAGACAAAGTTTGACATTCAATTTTTTAGACAAAGTTCATCATTTTCATGTGAAGAAACCTAAGAAGCATGGATACGCCAATTTAGTGGCGTATCCCGTATCGGATACTCATTTGGATACGATACGTTTTGGATACGGTCTGATACGCATTGGATACGTATCGCAGTCAACGGATACGTCAGTTGACTAACGGATACGAGTATCCGACATTCCAGAGACGAGTATCTGACTTTTCGAATACGAACCTCCGGGCAAAGTTTGCCGTTGAGGAGCCCCTGGGTGCGGTGAAGAGGGAGGGAGGGGGAAGAAGAAGAAGAAGATGTCAGACTGGAGGGAGGTAGAGAGGGAGGGAGAAAGAGAAGAAGAAGATGTCAGACTGCAGGGGAAGAGAGACAGAGACAGAGAGGGAGAGAAGAAGAAGATGTCAGACTGATCTCAAGTGACGACGTCGTTTGCTAAAACAGGATTTGTAATATATATATGTATCTGTTTATGGGTTTGGGTCTTAAACAAATGGGCTTTGGGTAATGATATATTTGGGTGAAAAAAGCTATAGATGCCTAAAAATATAAAGAATCAGAAAAGAAAGTCCAAAATGCTACACTATATTTATAATTTATAATTTATAATCTATTTAAAATATATTTTAGGTTATATATATTTATTAATATATATTTTTAATAACCGTATCCATGACGTATCGTATCCTAATTTTTGAAAATTTCCCGTATCCCCGTGTCGTGTCGTATCGTATCACCGTATCCGTATCCGTGTCCGTGCTTCTTAGGAAGAAACAGATATTTTGGATAATAGTGCCTCAATACAAGAGAAAGTATACTCACCGTGTTCAAAATTGATTCCAACTTCTTTCTTTCTTTGGAAGACCTGAATGCACCAATGATGCAAACTGGAGTTTTCTCACCACAAAGAGCATCAAAATTAGACTCTGTCAGTAGGGGTATTTGCTTCTCCCCAGTCGGTGACTTCTTGGCCTGACTTGAAGCTGCCTTCTTGCTCTTTTTCTCAAAACCTTCTAGTAAAGCACTAAGCTCATTAATTGCCGACTTCATATCTTTGATGGTAATGCCAGCTTTTAGGACATGCTTCTCCCCGTTTGAAAGCCAACCAACTATAGCTGGAAGTGCATCAACTCCTAGCTTCTTCACTCTTGGATCAGAAACTTCATGGACCTGAATTTTAATAATAAGTTGTCATTTTTATAATTGAGAAACAAAAAAAAATTAAGATGAATGCAAACAACCAAAGCACATTTTCCCTGAAAAGCAAAAGTATATGATTCACTTTGTCATGGAAGTATCGGGATCATCATTGCACCCTACCCTTCTGTTAAGCATATACATTGCCTCATTCTTTCTAACATATTTTTAGGACGGATGTCAGGCAATTGTTACAGTGAAAAGGCTTCTGATTCCTTCAAGAAGTCAGTTAAAGCAATTCCATAGCCAAAGACACTAGATTCATCTTATATTGACAAGACTCAGAAAAGGAAAATTGAGTAAATTAATTCAACAAATAATCACCACATACCTCTGCATCATAGAAAAGGAAGTGATTGTGATGCAATCCGCTGAGGACACGCCAGATAACAGGTGTATCTTTCTTGGTGGAAAGAAGCACGACACTAGGCAATTTATGGACTGTGAAAGTGGAAGACTCAAAATGTTTCAAGTCAACCCGTTTTGAAAACCTTGGAAGATGATCTTGGCAAAACATTTTTAAAGGTTTTGCAGCCCAATCACCATCATACTCAACCAAAGAACCCCTTTCACTCACTTTGTAAGAATAAACAAATACCCTGGGCATTCTGCGGGGATATATGCCGAGGTCCTTACAGAGAGATGGTTCTGTCTCACAGTTTATGTTTCCAATCTGACAAAAGAAAAGGAGAGAATGAGCATATGTGGCGATCAATGGCAGATCAGATGGTAGGGAGTAGGGACCGAATAAGAATCTGCACATACCTTTAAAGCTCCCTGCAGTGAACTGGCAACTTCCTTTATGATAGATTCAACATGTTGATGCCCCTTCAATGATGGTGTGTAAGATAACAAGAGCCAAGTCATCCCTTGGTCAACTATTTCTTTTTTATACACCTGTGAACTGATGGCACTAATGCTCACTGGGGAACTCCTAGACCCAGGTTGAGACCCTGGCTGAGACCCAGCTGAACCACTGAAACCACCAAACTGACCCCCACCTCCAGGTTTTCCCCCAAAAAGGGTCGAGAAAATGTCGTCCATGCCAAAACCAAATGAACTTGGACCACTGGGACCTCCAAAAGAAAAGGAGAATGACTTGGAACCTCCCTGCCCACCCATGCTCTGCCAGTCACTTGGTCTGTAGGTAAACTGGTTTTTTCCTGGTCCACCATTTGTGAAGTAAGTATATCCACCATGATCTCCAGAAGAACCAGCTCCAAATCCAGGACTGCCCTTCTCATCTCCATACGTGTCATAATTTTTCCTCTTCTCTTCATCTGATAAAATGTCATATGCTAATGAACAAGAAGAAACAAATCGACATTAAGTACAAACTTATGAGGAAGTGGCCACTACAGCAGGATAGGTATATATGAATTTTAAAAAATCCAACCAAAAAGGCAAAAGGAAAGGAAGCATAGACTGAAGAGAAGTCAGAGGTTATACCATTGTTTATCTCAGAAAACTTTGCTTGAGCTCCTTTGTTCTTATTCTTGTCCGGGTGATATTGAAGAGAAAGCCTACAGGGAATTATTCAAATGAGCTTGAGTAAAGTAAAAAGCATGTGACACAACGTGTCTGAACACAAATGCATGTTACATGTATCTTTCTGTATTTCTTTGTTGTGTTATAAGCATTTGCATTATGAATGCACAAGCACAACACAAACACTCACACAATGAGAAACTTTTAGAGAGCCAATTATATATCCCAGAACAGAAGATAAGCAAAATTATCCTAAAGCAAAAGAAGAAACATTACTACTCTTTTTTAGAGAAAATAAAGAAACATTAACTTAAATATTGGTCAAAGAACACCAAATTTTTTATTTAATGCATCATGAAGCATACATTAGTCTCATAGTAACAAATATGACAAAAGAAAGAAATGAACTGCTTATTCTGGCAACTACAATGTTGTAAAGACACATATTTGAGATATTTAAACTATCATCCTACAACAACAGCTCAACACAGTTGCACAAGCACTAACTGTCATTGCCCAACACCCCCACTAAGGTGCACTTAATGTTAAGGGACCATAGTGACAGATTTAGGCCTGTGAAAACTTATAGTTTGGCACTTGCGCCAGCCCCAACGCGACCCAAACCAATAAGAACACTTTGCACAGACTATGACCATCCTAATTGATGTATACATATCATAAATGAGCTTAGAGGTCACATTAAGTGTCAATACTTTCAATGCCTAGATAATTACCATCACCAAGAAAGAAAAAAAATTCATTCCCAGTGATCAGCACAAAATAAAGCACATTATGATCTCGCTTTGCATAAATTCATCTACAAAATCCTAGCGAAGTAATTGCATTTAGAGGGCACAAAACTATTATCAATGGTTATTGGAACACACTTGTGGAAAGCTTTCTGAATTTCACGTTGGCTTGCATTCCGCTCGACTCCAAGGACCTGATAAGAATTTGAAACCATTTCTAATAAATTAGTAAATAAGTATAGAACTAATGATTTATCGGTTCTTTCTTTTTAAAAAAAGTCGTTAAATTCAGTTCCTTTTGTTTATCTCAATTGTTGATTGCATTCTGATAACGGCCACAGCAGCATAATACACTAAAATTTGAACCTTTTTCATTACCAATTTTGTCAAATTTTCTTTTCTTTTCAATCTCAAAACCAAGCACATGAAAAGAAAAAAAAAATCTTTAGAACGTGATTCGATCATAGAACTACATATTCAAAATCAAAACCGCTCTATTTACATTCAATTCATTCACATTGAACTGGAATAAGAGGAAAAATTAGAGGAAGGGAATGAAGGAAAAGCAATGAGAACAATACCTTGTAAGGGTCTATGGTTGTTGCTTCCATGGTTAAGAAGAAGAGCAACGCCGACAAGAAGATCCACAACACTAACCGGTTCCCCATATTCGAATACGAAATTTACACTCAGATTTTTTCAAGATTTGTTAGGGATGTTTTCTTTTTCCTGGTTTTCCCGTACGAAAGCTGTGTGTACGTTTTAGACGCAACTGAGAGAGGGAGGAGATTGAAATTGAGGGCTTATAAAGGAATTCGAGGGATCTAAACAAATCCAGATGCTTCGCGTTTTTAAGGCCGTTAGGTACACGTGGCGTGATGACGTGTTCCCACGCAAACTGACCAATAGTATTTCAGAGTTCTTGATTGTGTAAGGGAACGCACCGCCATCACGCGCTTTGCTTCTTTACGCTCTGCGTGCTTGAGGTGATTATTCAGCATAGATGAACGCCATAAGAGCCGTAGGATCTTAGCGGTCGGATTTCACTCAGCCATTGGATTCAAGAACACATGCTGATGCTAAGTTTATCAAATCTTGAGCAGCGTAAAGCTGATATCTGTCTATATTCTTATGCACAAGGTTATAGAAATTTCACTTCAATCACATTTTGATATTATTTCTTGCATTCTCATTGATGCAGTGGTTCATTATAGTCAACTATTTGCTTTTTATTTAGGGAGCTTCACTAATATACCCAAAATAGGGGCTGAAATTATAAAAAAACCCCACATGAAAAACACTTTATAAACACACCCAAAACCCATTTATTAAATAACAAATTAGTGTTGAAGTTCCAATAAATTACACCACTGCCACTATCAAACCCAACAGAAAAAAAAAAAAAAAAACTCAAAAAGCACCCAAAATAACCCCAGCCGAATTTTATAAAAAAAAAGCT